CTAAGGAAGCCAAAAAAACAGAAACTGTATTGGAGTTAAGTGACGCGAAAAAATTGTAGCAGTGACGGAAATCACAAGCTATAATAAAGTTTGCATCGAATTTTGTATGCCGCACGGTTGGTCGCTGTTGCAGAGTTCGCAGGCTCGAATTCGCCAGACGAAGTGAGGACTGCTAGCGAAGCCGAGAGCCCCCGGGCTGCTGGCTCGCCTGCCGAGTGCGCTGCAACCGCCACTTCCACCAGCACTAGTGCCAGTGGTAGCAGCGTTGAAGCAGTAGTCGAAGAGCATCAGCTACAGGACCAACAGCAGCAACAGTCTCAGGAACAGCAACACCTCGAGTCCTATGAGATGCGTAGGACACCGCCACAGAGCAAAGGTCTCGTGATTATTACATTATTCCTGTTGATTGACCTTCAACTCTTATCTTCCCTAAGCTGTTATTCTCCATTTTAGACTTGTGCATGATTTTTTTTTTTTTTTGTTTTTTTATATATTTTTTGTCAATATTGATAGTTGATGTGTGCAAACATCGAAGTCTCGTACAGGAGATGAGCGAGATGTGTGTGGGAAGGATGGGCACATTTACACAATGCAAGAGTGCAAAAAATACGTGCATATAAGTTCAACAATTAGCGTGGGCTCACGTCCGTCTTTGTATAATATGTTAAAGCTCCAACCGAGAGAAGAATGTTATTTCTGATGTGCAAGGACGATAGAGGGGGGAAAAGGAAGAACTACTACGGTAGATATATAATTATATATAGTAGCAGCAACAGGGGCGGGGAGAGGCAGACACAAGAGAAGGGAGAAAGACAGAGAAAAAGAGCAGGCGACTCTGTCGTCGACGACGACGAGAAGAGTTTGTTGTGTCTCTCTTACTCGCATACGCACTTATCCTTATTATTATTGTATGGCGGTAGTAGTTGATTGCTTGAAGTACCTCTAAAACGTCGGAAACTGCAAAGTAGCAATGTTGCTTTGTCGAAACGCATAATTTTGTGATTCGTAGCTTTCTTTCTAATTACTCAAATGAACGTCTTCGGTAAATTAAAAACTAGATAACTCAGCCGCCTTCTTCTGAGTACGCAAAAAAAGCTTACTGCTTAGTGCTTACACTTGTGCCGTTTTATATATAGGTACATTAAATAAAAATGTATATATAGGTACTATATGTGTATATACCATTACTCAGGCTATTGGCCTCTCCGCTGCCACTGCCACGTACCGGATGACGCTACACGGAAAGCCTATACTCCTCTTCCCCCTCTTTTCTTTTTTTCACTCGACTGTTGATTCTCTGGCGTGGATCATAGAACATAAGTTAAACCAAAACATTTTTTATCCAATACAGTGGATAGGCAAGCTAGTGGTCAGCAGCAACAACAGCAGCAATCTGGAGGAGGTGGAAGTAACGCTGGAAACAATAGCGGAGGTAATTCGGCTCGGCTCCGGCTGAATCAGGTGCGAGCCACGAGGGATGAGAAGAAGGGGACAAGCGCCCCAGGGACAAACATTGCTGGCACTGCCACTACAGCCGCTGGTCAAGCCAGCAGCAGTAGTTGCAGCAACGCATCGTCGCGCCAAGCTGCAGCAATTTCTACTGCTGCCGCTTCTGGGTCCACGTCTCTGGTTAGTTTTTTCAAAGTTATTATTAATTGTGTCCATCCGTTTTTTTATACTTATTTATCTTATGCGCAGAGTCAAAGGGTTAGTTATAAAGACATAAATCTATTTGCATTACAAAATTCCCGTAAATCCCCTTGTTCGTTATTGATATAAATAAGCTAGAACTATACAAAATGACGTTTACGTCGATGCGGAAAACTACTATATAGATAACGCGAAACGCAACATGTTAGAAAATCAATACCAACCTAAACTAACGGATTGTAGTTGTAGATTTTGGAACAAACTCCCTTTTTGGGTTCTTGGACAGTAATTAGTACCTATTGTATATTTTTATACACCCCCATTTCTATATCAGTTGTGATTAAAAATACACGCGTATGACGTTGTAGCTACTAACAACTTCATCAAGCACCCTTTTTTTTTTTTAGTTATAACGGTATCGATTTCTCGTGAACATACAACCAAAAAGTTGAAAATAAGTCATTTTGCAACATTATTTTAGACATGGTAATCCCAACAATTAGACGCTTCCTTCCATCGACTATGTGTTTTGAATTTGAAGTTCTATTTTTAAATAAATTTCTGCGCAACGCTCTGTATAGATTAATATTCCTACAATCAACCATTTGCGCAGCATGTAGAACTACCTTGACTACATATACAATTGTTTCTTTTATCGTAAAACCTCATTGAAGCGATAGCGGCAAAATTTATTTCCATATTGGCTTTTTAGAAACAGATTATTGTATTGTATCGTTAAGAGCGTTAAAAAAACATGACGTTTGAAGCTTATGTACAAACTTATTATCTGAATGAATCTAATTCTTTGGAAAAGGTCAAAACATATCTGAACAGGATGAACTTTATTTCTAGAACTACAATCAAACTGCAATGGATTCGTCCGTGGGAAAATCGACAGGCAGTGGTGGTAACACAAGCGGAAGTGGAGTATCAGGTAGTGCGTCGTCGGGCAACAGCGGTTCCGGTAATGGTCCAGCCAGCAGCAGTGGCAACGTACCTAACTCGTCCTCGTCATCATCTTCGTCAGCCGACGGTGGCGATATTTACGAGTTTAAAAGTTCTAAGGAAGCCACACCGGTCCGAGGCTCGAGTTCCTCGCCCAATCTCAATCCCGACAAAGATGGCAAAGATTCCAACTCCTCTCTTGCCTTGTCAACGAGCAATACTCAGAATCTTAGCAGTGCAGCCCCAGAGCCTAATGCCACCAGTCAGGGTTCTGCTGTAGTTGGTTCTAGTACGGGCGTATCATCGTCCGTATCTTCCACGAATGCCGGTGCTATTACTGGCTCGTCCTGTTCGTCGACTGGCGGTACGAGTGGTACTTTGGCGGAAGCTATGTCTACGTCGACAACGGACGATCAACCACAATCTTCAAGTGCCTCTGGTACCGTGTCAGGTGCCTCCTCCACGTCGGTTAAAAGGTCTTTTGACAGCGAAAGCGGTCCGGGAGATGAGCAAGACGAAGAAGGTCGTAAGAGAAAGAAAAAAGAAACGGAAACAGGAAAAGATGTTGGAGCCAAGGGTCCGGCTAGCAGACAAGCGACACCTAGGAACAATCCCAGTGCCAGTGATAAGGTAACTTTTGGCATTGATATTACGCAATAAAAACGATTATTCTTTGTTCCATATGCTCAACCTTTATGTTTCAACAGATAAAGCAAACTTGTAGCAGACAAGTAGGTGGAATCGTTAATACAAAGGGTAATCAAGGTAACAACTCTAGTAGCAGTGATCGCAAAAGTCCATCCATGAGTGCAAACAGCCCCAAACCTTCAAACTCCTCGATTTCTAATACCAATAATCTGAAAGGCAATACTCCTTCTGCTACCGAGTCTGATGGAGAAGATGAGCGTTCGAAAAATTCTGATTCTAATTCTGCACCTAAAGTGCCACCGTTAAAAATTGTGATACCTCAGAGCACAGTGTCGGAGCAAGAACAAGGCAATCGAAATGGCAAAAATAACTCGAATCGAGGCCACCAGTTACCGTACGTTGTGGCGAGCTCCAACAGCAATGATTCCACTGATAAGGAGCAAGGTATGTCGGTAGTCACTAGTGGCACTACCAGTCCAATAGACAATGGTGGAGCATCTTCTAAGACTGACGAAAAGAAAGAAATGGGTGGGGCTCTAGATGGTAGTAATAATGGTCCATGGCACAGTCATCAACGAGTCTTAAGAAGTTCGCATCGTTCGGGAAATGGTGCCAATGGTTCTTCTGGTAGCAATTCCGGTAACATGTCAGGAAACGGAAATTTTTCAAACAACTCGCCATTGCCTGCTAACCCTGCTGATAGATCGAACAATTCGTCTCCGCAACAGAGATATCATTCCCCAACGCCTGAATCAGTTGTCTCCGAGGCTGTTAAAACGGCATCGGCAGATTCATCAATACAAAATAGTCCGGCACCCAAGTCGAGTAGTGTTATAGATAAAGGAGATGTTAAGGTAGAAGTTAAGAAAGAACTTGTCGATTCGTCAGAAGTTAACATTAAAAAAGAGCCTGGCAGCGAATCATCAAACACATCCTCGCAGCAGTCGGTAGAGCTTCATCCACGGAAAAGAAAGATGAAGCCTAACAAGGAAAATCAGCAGTCAACCTCGTCATCCACAGGGACAAATGAAACGACAGAAACGACCAATACTGTACCCGAAATTCATCCTCACGATCAACCCATAACAAATTGTTATCAATTGTTTTTGAATATAAGAAAACAGGCAAGTGTATAATAAATGCATCCAATTTTTAAGTACTTACAATCAAGTCTTATTTAATGAATTATATATACTTTCGTAGATTGATAAAAAAAGAAAAGGACTGTTTCCTGTTCAGCCAAAGCCGCCTCAAGGATTTAAGGATTACTTGATGAATCGATGCACATATGTGCTTGCAGGAAATGCAAACAAAGAACCAACCATCAATTTTCCTGTCAATTTACCCGCTCAGATGAAAGATCTTTATGTACAACAGGAACAAGTTCGTCATCGATTACGGATGCAACACGTTGTAGAAAAAGAAAAATTAGTTTTATCAGTGGAGCAGGAAATTCTTAGGGTCCATGGTAAAGCAGCTCGAGCTCTTGCTAATCAATCACTTCCGTTTTCAGCTTGTACATTTCTCAAAGACGAAGAAGTCTATAATGTTATAACTCCAGAACAAGAGGAAAAAGACCGAAATGCGAGAAGTAGATATAATGGTCGTCTTTTTTTAAGCTGGTTGCAAGATGTTGACGATAAATGGGAAAAAATCAAGGTAATTATTTTTTATTTATTCCAATTTAAAATAGAGTTGATTAGACAATTTATTTAATGAATCTGATGATTTAAAACTTTATATTAAATAATTGTGAAACGAACTTTGATATTAGGAAGGAATGTTGCTGAGACACCATAATGAGGCAGAATCTTTACATGCTGTTCAGCGGATGGACTGGGAATGGAAGTTAAAGGAAGTTCAGCTTTGCGAATTTAAAGCAACACCTCAAATAGAAGATTCCCATGTACCCATGGTTCATGTTTCCGACGACTTTGACCTATTACCTGCTTAATTTTTGACTAATATTATATCTACTTCGTCTAACGCTTTGAAGATATTATCTGTGATCTCACGTGTATGACATGTACGTATTTGTATATGAAGCGTGTATACATAGTAATTTTAAGGCACAACACTGCATTTTATCAAATTCTTTAAAGTGACTGAAAATTCTAATGATTATGTACATATTGATTTTATTGTAACATACTTATCAAGTTATTCGATTGTTTTATAAACTTTTCCTTCTTGGACAAACTTTAAACTTTTTTATTTTTTTCAAAATCAATATACTGTTATTTCTTAATTGATGTTTTTAAATAAGGTATGAGCAATCGACAAAAATTACCTTTCATTTCAATTTGGTATAATGTATATACTTTGTAAGTACACCTCGTTGTAACTTCCGCTAGTACATAAAATGCATAAGGCAAAATAATAAACAGTAATAATAAAAACATCTAATAAAATTATTTAGCTTTTTTGTTATTTTTTGACCAATCTTCGTCATCACTATCCACTAGGTTGTCTTCTACTTGATAATCCAATGGCTTGTCGTATCCCATGATCTTTACATAATGGCTTTGATCAGTAAAATGCGTGGCATCTAAAAACGCAGGTTTTCCCTTTATCAGACAGTTGGAGAACATTCCTTGCATAGTTGGTGAAGTAACATCATCAGGTGTAAACTCGATCTGGAATGTATATTATCAAGTTTAAATCGAACCAAGTAGTTTTAAAAACAGAAATTAAAGAAAATAGTATTTACAAGATTTTTTCGAACAAATAGCGTGTAGGTAGTGGCGAAGTACTTGTTATTTTTGTTATCATACTCGACAGACGTTATATATCTTTTTGTAACAACGTGAAGAAGTAATGGAGTCGAAAGAGCTAAAACAGCTATGCAGCCAAATAGTGGCAAAGTAATAGCAGAGACTTCCCCAGCAAGTAATATCTTATTGTAGAGCATTGGTTGCATGCCAAGTCCAAAAGTCGATGTACATAACGTGAATAGTTTTAATCGACGGATAGTCGGTGTGAGCAATCCTGTATACACGATTTCTCTGTCGTTGACTTCATCATTGCTTGTGGTGACTGTTTTTGGAGCAGTACTTTTTGTCGAATAGTCTCTTTGGTACGATTTACCTGCGTTAGTCTGTAAGATCTAATAGCAAAAGAGTGTTGTCAAGTATATTGGTGTTAAATATTACATAAAATTTTGGCAAAAAGAATTTAATTTAAAAGTGCTAACCTGACACCTACAGCTGATGCCATTTGTTGCACTCACGGGCAAATCGAAACTAAACTTGATTGAATTGCTGGATAAAAGCCGTTGAATACTTCTAGGTACGGCGATGGCACGAAAAATAAGTGACATTTTAATTTAGTTTTTATATGTCAGTAGGTATGTACAGGTACAATAATAATTCAGTAAACAAGCAGCAGACGATAAAATACCACACACACGCCCCTTATATACACTTACACAAACTTTATGTGAAACCGATAGAGAGAATTGATATGTGAATATTGGGTGTTTTCCGCAATCGTCACCAGCAAGTAATAGTGGGTTGCGCTCTACGTTACCATCAGGTCGGTAAGTCAACTATACCTTGAATTAACTGGCGCTCTGTTCCGTAATCTGGCCAGTTAAAATAGCAGATGACGTAAAAGTCATGGTGTAAGAATAGACTTCGGCCCACCTGTCTATTCTTACACCATGGTATAAAAGTCGAGCAAAAAGTGAAGATTTCATCGCTGTTGACTGTCGTCTGCTATTTTAACTGGCCAGATTACGGAACAGAGCGCCAGTTAATTCAAGGTATAGTTGACTTACCGACCTGACGGTAACGTAGAGCGCAACCTTAAATTACTTGCTGGTGACGATTGCGGAAAACACCCATTGTGTACTTAATAGTTCTTCTTCTCATTCTCACTTTATTATGATGGCTCTCCAAAATAAGAGCCAGTAGAGTAGAGTGTGGCCATGACCAGGTTGGGCTAGATAATACTTCGATTTGCGGGCGGGAGAGATTAAATTTTGTCCGTCCGTCTTTTGGGGTAATGAAGTTATGATGATAACTATAACTTCAGCGAGTTGTTTTGGTTGCTAGGCTAATTCAGCACCGTCAGGAGTAAGAAGGTTCTGTCAGGAGAACCAGTGTGAGGGACTCAGTAGTTGAGTTGTTGAGTACCGTGTCGTCCGTGCCCCATGCCCACTGCTCCCACTGCCCATCCCATCAGCATAGACGGCGTTGATTTAGGGGTGCAGCCCGCGCAGCTTGAGGGCCTGCGACTTTCACCCAGTAATCGCCAACTTTCGTCCGCACTGGTATTAAATTTGTTGATAGCCAACATGTTAAGATAAAATTGATTTATATTTAACTATCTCCGCTCCGTAAATGGTTATTCAATTTTGGCGATTTCGTTGGCGATTTGAATGATAACTGTAGGCGACTTTTGGCGACTTAACGCACACTGGTGGCGACATCGTGCTCAATTGATCTGGTCACAGTGGTCACCCTGACTGCTGGCAGCATTTGCGGAATACATCTGGTATACCTTGGATGGTCCGCATACTTACTTATTCGACGCAAGCTAATACTATGGGTAGCTTCGTACGCAGTCAAAACTGTCAAAAGTGTTAATCGTGCAGAGGTAACCGGGCAGGGCAAAAAAGGGGAGGAAACAGTAAAGGGCGCGCGTATCCGACCAGAACTTCCTGTTCCTGTCCCTCACCTACCCTACAAAACGGCTCTCTTTCTCTCTCTCTCTTTATTACACACTTAAGTAGTTTGTATCTAACATTTTTAATTACATACAGCCGAGACCTGGTGTTACTTGGAGACGGTGCAACAATCTCCTTGCCCATGCCCATGTTGTGTGTTCGTTGACGACCATATCATTTTTTCTCGTGCCTATGCCCTACATCTAGTACCTACCTATCTCTAGTGTCTACATGTCGTGTGTTGACTGACGTGTTTATTGTGTCGTGGCAAATTGATTAATGACGAGTGACTATAAGTAGTGTGATGAAATAAAATATTCAGTGCCTCATTGACTAAATTTGCCCTGATATGAGAAGCCAACACTGCCAGTACTGCCAGTATGGAAAAGCATTAGTCCTTGAGCAAGTTGTATAGCTCGGGGCCGTCGTTGCTGAAAAAGAATTTCTACTACTTAAGTTCTGAGAAAGGTTTCTTTCGGCATCGCCCCGAGAGACGCAGATCCAATCGCACACCAGAGATATAATTTTTCTTTCTCATGACATTCTACTTCGTGATCAGACCCTTTTTTATGCCCTTGCCTGCACCAATAAGATAATGTTCATTCAGTAAACCATAAATCTCTCGTAGTAATAACTTTTATTGGTTCAACAAAAAAAACACTGGACAAAATGCGTTTAGAAATGGAATACTTGTCACCAGAGCACCTGGCAGGCTTCGAGAGCTACAAAGTAAGTACACTATCGTCCTCTCTTCTTGATGTAATTTTATGTTTAATGATTAAAATGTATTTCTTGTCGTAATGTATTATAATCTATTTCAGTACAGTTCTTTGGATACGAGCCCACTTAGTATTTATGTGATGCATCCTTTCTGGAATAAAGTTGTACAGGTAACTTAAACTCTCATTATTCAAACAATGTTTCACTGCAATTTACAATCCTATGTAATAAGTTTTAATCATTTACTTTGTAGTACTGTCCAAAATGGGTTGCACCTAATGCATTGACTTTCACAGGCTTCCTTTTTACAGTCCTGAACTTTGCAATGTTTTCAAAGTATGATTACTATTATTATGCTTCAAACGATGATATGTTAGATTATCCTTCTATTCCAAAATGGATTTTTGCCATGGCTGCATTCAATATATTTATGGCATACACACTTGGTACTTGTTTAATTAATTAATTATTTTTTTTACTTTTATTATATACTTATATTTTTAATGTCTATGTAGATGGTATCGATGGAAAACAGGCCAGAAGAACTCAGACTTCTGGGCCATTAGGGGAACTTTTTGACCATGGTCTCGACAGCTGGACTGCCATGTTAATTACCACGTGTATGTTCTCTGTGTTTGGCAGAACTGATTTTAGTGTGTCTCCTACAAGAATGTACTTTATATTGTGGAATGTGTTTGTTACCTTTTATCTCAGTCATTGGGAAAAGTACAATACAGGAGTACTTTTCTTACCATGGGGTTATGATGCTTCAATGGTAGCGACAATAGGAGTTTTTATTTTGTCGGGTATTGCTGGAAATACTTTATTTAAATTTCGTATGAATAACGGTATTTCCTCAGGGATGATTTTTGAAATGATTTTATACATAAGTGCTCTTGTATCGAGCTTACCGGTTGTCTTGTTGAATATTTATAAGTAAGTGAATAGTTTTACATTCAATTTTTTTCAATGAATTTCTTACTAATGTGTTGTTAATTTTTAGATCTTATGTACATAAAACTGGAAAAATGAGATCTTTTTCAGAAGCACTGAGACCATTAGTGCCATTAACTGTATTATTTGTTATAACCACTTATTGGGTGCTAAATTCTCCTAGCAAAATTATAGACCAAGATCCAAGAATCATTTTCTTTACCGTAGGAACAATATTTTCCAATATATGTGTAAGAGATTACTTTTTGTATTTTTACTTTTTTTTTTGTTACTTATGATTTTTATTTAATACATGTTCTAAATTTTTTAGTGTCGTTTAATAGTTGCTCAAATGAGTAATACAAGGTGTGAAATATTGCCATGGATACTCTTTCCTGTTGCTGGTACAGCAGTTCTTTCGTTCCTCATTCCTAGATTAGAATTTAAATTAATGTACTTACTGGCTGCAATTGCATTGACATCCCATGTACACTATGGCTCTTGTGTTGTAAGTACTTTAAACAGTATTTACTACCAAATGATATTACATTCATTAAATTGTTTGTAAAACTTTCAATTTTTTTTTATTTTCAGGTGAGACAAATGTGTCGTCATTTTCGAATTGACGCTTTCAAAATAAAAGATCACTCACAATGACTACTCGCTGACGATGCGTGTTAAAATGAAAGTATCAAGGAGCAGCTAGTAAATGAACGCAGCTTGAGCAAACTAAAGATAAACTAAAGTTAAATATAAAGATCTGACAAATTCCATTGTAATAAGTGGGTTATGAAACAATTATCTGGCTTTTTAAAATTTTACTTTCAGTTTTATAATCATTTTAAAGTACCTGGAAAATACTAATTTGATAGATGGCCATAGCAAGTCTAATCTCATACTGCTGTGATTAAAATTGTGATTGCTTGTAGAAAAAAAGTAGCATCACGCGCTAGGTATCGTAAAAAATTAAGTAACTTTAATTTTTGAAATGCAGAATGAAAAAGAAACCTAAAATATATTTTGTAACGTTTTTTCTGCAACTACGATAGTTACAGGTCGTTGCATCATTAATATATTCTTCTACTTTCTGTAGACTTAGATCGGTTTTGTTTGTGTACAAATTAAATGCATACGATTCCGTTTTAAAAATGCATTGTCTCTTAAAAGACTACATCAAGTCTTATCAATTGTACTTGATACTACTCAGTCCAAAGGGGAGGAAGTAGTAAAACGACGAGCGTGTATGCCACGCAGTTTTGTGCTGATATAGAAAAATACAAGTTGCGATTCCCACTTCGCGTTTCTTGCCTAATTTAATATGTACTTTTTGATACAAATCTAATTTCACGTATCAAAAAAACAATAATTTTTATTAACTATAAAATTTCATTAATTTTTATGTCATGCGGTTTTGAAAGCTACATACTTCAAAGTTATCTGAAAGCATATACTTATGAAATGAAAACAGTTGTAGTACACATACAAAGCATAGCGTTAAATAGTATATCTGTTTCTGATAACACAAGTCATTTACTATACTATTATAGGCTTACGAGCTCTTGACTCATGTATATTGATATACTTGCTTACACAAAAGTCGTTCCTCACAGTTTACAGCTCGTTGCATCTAGACTCTAATAGTTTTTGAACATCGTGGCTAGTCTATTTGGAATAATTTCTACTAATATTCATGAGATTATTGTACCACCAGTCGAGTATGGTTACATTGAAGTTTGTAAAACTAGCATTGACTAAATGTTACACTGAATTTACTGATTCTTTATGTACAAAATAAATTCATATCGTTTTTGAGTACTAATTTTAATAGTAGTTGTATGTGTTCGATGAACCAACCAGTCACATCAAAAATTTCAACAAGATGAAATTCCAAAGTTTATTTCTATCGCAGAAATACTATGAATAGGGTACTAATTTTCAATCTTACTTCCTCTTACTGTAAGCGATTTCAGATGCTTCTTATTTGGGAAATTCCTTAGTTAGTACAAATAAGTTTTATGTATCTACTTTCTTTTATTTTTTACCTCTAATAATATTAATGTTTTACTGACTTGTTCTATAAAAAATATTATAGTACAAATGTGAAAACTGTCTAGTGCATGTAATATATGTAACAAAAATGATTTTTTTACACATGCATATTACTTAGTAAATGTTAAATTCAGTGTCTCAAATCTCTCATACTTCGCATTTATTGTAATTCTTGTATGCTTACGTAAAAAATTTAATGAGCATTGCATCAACTTGCGTTTAATATTGCAATTGAATCCTAAACATTTAAAAATTTGACAGCATATCCGACACTAAACCTTTTTTTCTCAAAATACTGTGAAATTCTAGCTTGTTAGGTATGAAAAAGTAACTCGCAATGTTTACTTATTTTTACAATAATTTTTGTAATATATTTAGTTTTGTATTGAATCCCACCAGATTCGAGATAGTTGGGTATATTATGAAACTGTGTCTTATTAAATATGTAAAAATATTAAATACATAAGTTTTACAAAACTGGAAACTAAATGTTTATCTTTCACGCAGTTTCAATTCACACATATCACAAAGAAATAAGTTTTATCTACTTGTACTGCTAAGATTTCTTTTCCTTTCTTCCATTATTTTGTTCCTTTCTTCTAATGATGGCATTTCAGGTGTGATTCCTTTTCTTCTACGATCTACTTGAACTGCCAACTACTCGATTGAAAAATTTTTTTAGATATGTTTTTTCAATTTATAAAACTAATTTCAATTATGTAATATTATTAAGTACTGTACCTACCCAAAATTGTTTGCAGTTTCTGTAGTTCTCAAAGTATAACTCACATTTTTCCTTATCATAATTATTTTCTACTAAACAATTATTTGTTAGATTATGCTCCTAAAAAAATAAATACATACACTAATTTTTATTACAAATATGTACCATTTATTTTGAGAGCCATACTTTCAAACATGGGTTTGTTTCTTTATTAATGAGTTTTCCTTGAGACTTGATATTCTGTTGACTTGAAGTCATTTTCTGAAATACAATTTTCAAACATCATAATGTGCATATATATTCATGTTACGTAAGAATAAATTTTTTGTAATAATTAAAATGTTCAACATCTAATAAAGATGTATTGCTAAATAAGAAAAATATTTTTTTATCATTACTGAGAAAATTGACCTTGTAAGTGTATATTAACATGTGGAAAAACTTTTAACATACTTGATATTCTGAAACTAATGAGAAATTTTTATCAACAGAAAAAAAAATTCGAAAACGTGTACAAGGAAAAGTTGATGACAGTAAACCACATGTATAATTGATTGTTCAAATTTTTGGACATTAATTTTTGTAATATTTTTAAATTTTACGAGTGTATTTTTCTCAAGTGTTTAAAAAACAAAATTAAGATAATACTGAAAAACAATTTGGAAAAAAAAAGCTTACGAAAATTTTTAACGCTTAAAATTATTATGTAGCCAGAGCGCAATGTACGAGTAAAAGTTTAATAAAATAATGTATAAATGTAAGTAATTTGTCAAGATCAAGAACTAGTCATTTGTTTAAGTATTGTAATGTCACAGATATTTTTATCCAAAAATAATAAATATACCAATTTAAGAAATCACATTTAATTTTAATAAGTTAATTATACCTCTTTTATTTAATTAAGCTAAAAGTTGCATTGCACTTTACTTGGGTTATATATCACACACTTTAACATATACGTGTGCGCACTACTAACCTAATCTTTTTAAAAACTGAGAATTTGGTACAACATTTAAAAAAACGCGAGATGTTCTCTCACACATTAATTGAGCTTTCAAACTCAGTCATCAAGTAGTAGCAGTTAACATTATTTAATATTTTTCAATTAATTCCAACATCAATCCCTTTGTTGCTTTATTCCATTTTTTGAATGTTACTCATACATTTCTCACGCTATCGAATGTAGGGGTTGCCGAGTTAAGTACATAAAAAAATTTTAATGTGTAAAAAATATGACATTTAACTGTTTATGTATACCGATCATGAGAAAGACAAACTCAATTGAACACATCCGGGGCCGTACCATATAACTTTTTTTTGCTTCACAGGCCGATGTACAGAAAAATAGTTATATGGTACGGACCCAGTAACAAGTAGCTCTGCAACAAAGTCTGTAACGAATTGTAGACATGTTAGAGAATTTACGATTTTTATTTTTTACCGTATGTACATATTATAACTTAGTGTTGCATCGATCATGTCATTATTTTTATGATTTGTTTAATTATTTTATTTATCATTTCAAATTGTTTTTTTTTTTTTTTTGGTGAAAGAAAAATGGTACGCGAAGGCGTGTCAACTGAACGGTAAGTATTTACTTATGGAATTGAATTTAAAAAATCAAACGCTTTTAACTGAAGTTATTCTTTTCAGAAAATCTGCATTAAAAAAAAAAAATAAAAAAAAATAACAAAATTAAACGAAAATGATTGACTTAATGTTGTGAATGGTTAAAAAATATTCTTCTGTAAGCAGTGGTATTGGAAAGGATTAATAAATTTAAACACAGGTTGTATGATTTTTTTTTATAACACTTTCATTTTCTGGTAGGTCTATGGTAATTAATAATTAATAACAAGAAAAAACCTTCATCTGTTGTCTACAGTAATTATTAAAAGGTACAATTAGCAAATTACTATGCTGTGTATTCATTTTGTGTAATAATAGGTAATGATATAATTGTAATTTTTTTTTTTTTTTTTTTTTTTTTTATAATTGAAGCGCAATTTTTTTTTCTCACGTGCTCGATTTCATGTCTTTTCTACAAATATAATAATATGTTATCTAGTATTTTTATTTTTTCTTGTTTACATAATTACATCCACGTCGGATTATTATTAGTAATCGGTTTTCTTTTCTCTCCTATATCGTCGCTTCTATTTATAATGTTTTAATAATCGAATACTAAAAATACAAATGTTTCATATATCGGTTAGCGGAGCGAGGTTTCAAAAGCAGTGAAGGGCGCAACTTCAATGCCTTTGAAAAGCGCCTCGTTTTCTTTATTCTCTATACTCTTCTTATACATATATACGATCGGGTATCTTTTATTTATATATATTACCAATATAAAATTAAGGGGCTCGTGAAGGAAATTTGCACTTGACACCCACGTTATCTTTCAAGCAGAAGAAAGAACTTCTTTTTTTTTTTTTTTTTTTACCTTAACGTCGCAATCGTACTGCTTATACACAGAAAATTTTTCGTATTTTCATATATAAATTCGCTCTTTTTTTTACAAAGAATTTTATCTTGCATTCACGACGAGAATATACAAGGCTTTGTTTTAACTTTGCATATGGTTATTTTAAACTTTTCAACACGATTATCATACAAGTACCCGCATAGAGAAAAAGAGAGATCGGTTTATCGATTCGTAAAATCTAAGCACGCGAATTTTCTCTCATTATTTTCTTCTCCCATTACAATCATTATATTTATTTTGCTTTGAACATATACAATCTTATAAATAACTGCTTCAAAAGCCCTTTAATGTTATACCAAGGATGCATAAGATTTTCTTACACTATTTATTTCAAGTACCAATATGTACATACGAAGTTTAAATTCTTCTTTATATTTTTTTATTAATTTTCTTTTATACAAATATGTAAACTTAATGACGATAAAATTACAACGTAATAATGCCTAGCCTATCTAACTATGTGTCGACAGAAATATTTTACAACAATCGAGAAAAATTACGATTCTTTCGCGTATTATCTTCAATCGTGATAGAATATTCTATCACGTTATTTTTAATTTTATTTAAGAAGTAAGAAAGTTCTTGTACGTCTCTTTCACGCAGATCTAGCAACTAGATTTTACATTACACTTAATCCCATCACAATGTAGAGTATAAATCAATGTAACTTTACTTTCGCCTTATATCCTCGCTAAACCAACTCTCTGGCGTTTGAATATTTCTATTTTTCACAATATATACAGTTTTTATTTGCGTTACCAGCCCTTTCAGGTGAATAATAAAGTATATTATTATTTACAAACAAAGGTAGCGGGCACAATTATATCCGTCAAAAACGCGAGTTTACCTCTATGTAATAATTTAAATTTTGCACTATGTAATTTAAAGTACGAACTAGAAAAATATAAAAGGGAAAAAATAAACAGAGGAAAAAGAAGATTGAAGTTCAGAGCATGGCTTTGAATCAGACTGCCGTTAATTAAAGGCTGAATCGAAGTCATAAAATATATATATATATTTTATGACTGAGAATGCTGCTGGACTTATTAAG